TCCGACACCGTTAGCCCGAACTCCCCGAACACCTCAACAATGATGGTCATCATTCTCGCCAGTCCTTCTGCAAACCTCGATACGACGTCGGCATCATCGTCATACAGCATCCCCCATACTGCCCTCCGTACTNCGATGGTCAGCGGTGGAGGCGGGGGGGGCTGTGATGTTGTAGTCGGCTTTGTCCTTCGCGCACATCAAGACCGCTTCCGGCTTTTTTTCCGACACCGTTAGCCCGAACTCCCCGAACACCTCAACAATGATGGTCATCATTCTCGCCAGTCCTTCTGCAAACCTCGATACGACGTCGGCATCATCGTCATACAGCATCCCCCATACTGCCCTCCGTACTCGGTCAAGGGGTGTCTCCTCCCCCCCCTCGGCTTCCGTCTTCCCCTCCTCCAAGCACACCAGGCTCCGCAGAACAACATCATCCTCGCTGAATCGGATGACAACGACCTCGAGGACCTCGGCGAAGAAGATGTTGAACAGCAGTGGGGATAGCACACATCCTTGTCGCACGCCCTGTGTCACGAAGAACCAGTCCGATAGTTCTCCGTCGTCCATGCGCACCCGGGCCCGCATTCCATCGTGGAATTGGCGGATGACTTCGATCAGCTTCGCGGGAATCCCGGTCCTGGCCAGCACCTTCCATAGCATCTCTCGGTCCACCGAATATACGCCTTCTTCAAGTCGACCAAGCACATGTAAANAAGAAGATGTTGAACAGCAGTGGGGATAGAACACATCCTTGTCGCACGCTCTGTGTCACTCTCCGTCGTCCATGCGCACCCGGGCCCGCATTCCATCGTGGAAGTGGCGGATGACTTTGATCAGCTTCGCGGGAATCCCGGTCCTGGCCAGCACCTTCCATAGCATCTCTCGGTCCACCGAATATACGCCTTCTTCAAGTCGACCAAGCACATGTAAAGCGGTATTTTCTTTCTCCGCCCCAGCTCCTGGAGGCGACGCACGACGAACAGCATGCCGACGGTGGATCGCCCGGGTCGAAATCCGCACTGTTCCTCCGGGAGGATGCTGTTGGCTTCGCAGAAGGCGCTTAGATGGTTGGTGATGATCTGGATGGGGACCTTGCCTACGTGAGACAGTAGGGAAACCCCCCTGTAGTTGTTANAGCGGTATTTTCTTTCTCCGCCCCAGCTCCTGGAGGCGACGCACGACGAACAGCATGCCGACGGTGGATCGCCCGGGTCGAAATCCGCACTGTTCCTCCGGGAGGATGTTGTTGGCTTCGCAGAAGGCGCTTAGATGGTTGGTGATGATCTGGATGGGGACCTTGCCTACGTGAGACAGTAGGGAAACCCCCCTGTAGTTGTTACAGTTGGACCGGTCACCCTTCTTGTACAGCACCTTGATGGTTGCATCCTTCCACTCTCGCGGGATATCTCCTCCGTTCCACACCTTGACGAGGATGGTATGGAGGTGTCCCAGGACGAAGGGTTCGCCGTCATCGATCTTGAGCAACTCGGTAGGGAAGGTGTCATGGCCGGGTGCCTTCCAGTTCTTGAGGCCTTTCGTTGCCCGTGCCACCTCCTCGAGGTCTGGCACATCTCCCAACCGTTGAGTGTCACGTGTCGCTCGCCGCTGCGTCACTCGTTCGATGATGCCTGGATTCAGGGTGGGGGATTTGGTGTTGAGTATCGTGCTGAAGAATCTCGCCCACCGCTGTAGGAGGTCGTCCCTGTTCCGGAGCAACACGCCGTTCTAATCCGCGACGAACTGCTGTCCCCCCGCTTGTCTCCCGCTGAGGCCCACTGATATCTTGAGGTGTTGGTACAGTCCTCGCATGTCGCGATCTTTGTAGATTTCTTCGAGTTCAGTCACATATCCGTCCAGGTGGCACAAATGCCCGTTTGACTGCTGTAGCCACTTCCTTACACACACCCTGTTTTGAGAACCCTCCACGTTGCTGAGTTCCAGTTGCCCCCCATCGCACGGCGCGCTACCCGCGGTTCGGTAAGGGCCTGCTCCAGCGCTGCTCTCGTCTCTGGGGTCTCACACCACTCCTGCATGCGGCGTCTCCGCGGTTCCTCCCCTAGCGTCGTTCGCGCTGCTTCGAGGAGAGCATTGGTAAAATCGGTCGCCGATTCCGCGGCGGTGGTTGTTCGCTCGTCCAATCGTGTGTCGAGATTGAGGAGGAACCGATTAGTCTAGTCACCGCACACCGTCCTGCTCCGAATTGCAATTCCCGTCGGTTGATTTGCTTCTGTTTCGATTTAGTCCGGACTGCACGGTTGTGGGTAAGCCTGCCACCGAGGTTGACGGTGGCTACCACCATATTGTGGTCTGAGTCTGCTTTGAGTGGGCGAACCGGATGGCGGATGACAACCACGTTAGATACTCGGCCGTGATGTGCCTGTCTTGTCAGGATGTAGTCAAGGCCCTTGCAATCGTTTCCCGACATACCGTTGTATGTGTGCCATATGCCGCCCTTGCGTGTCTCGAAGAACGTGTTCGCGAGAGCTAGCCTGTTTTCCGTTGCGAAAATCAACAGCAGCATGCCATTGTCGTTGACCTCATCACGCCCTCCGTCCAACCTATCTCCCGTCCGCGCGTTGGCGTCCATAAGGACATACACACATTCTTTGGAAGGGATCCTCCGCACGAGACTGTCACGTTTTCCCCAGAACACGCGCTTGCTGTCGGCGGTTGAAGGTTCGGTTGGAGCATTCGCGGATACGAAGTTGACCGCTCCACGGTGGCCTGCAGACTGAAACCTCATGGCCATAAGGAGTTCGTCGATAAACTCTGTAGTGAACGTGAATGTCTTGCACAGTTGACTCTTTGACGGCTATCCCCGAACCATGGACTCCACCAGTCTCCGTGCCACAGCAAAACACCCGGAAACCCGCTGCTGCAAATTCCGTTCGACCTGCCCTCTGTGTCTCCTGCATTCCTACCACCGATATGTCTTGTTTCGCTGCCTCGTGGAGAACGCTGTGGGCTCGCCTGTATCCATTGGCCCCGTTTACAGCCAAAGTCCGCACATTCCCGACTGCATCTATTTATGGATGGATAAACGGAGGAGGAGGTACATTGTGAAGCTTACGGAGTACCTGTAGTCACAGGTGGTATGCACAGATAGCAAGTGAAGCAACACACGCAAACATAGTCTACTTCACGGGGTCCCAGTTCATGGCAGATAGAAGTGTTTCGTGTTTTCAACCGCTCTGAGACTGACGTCTTTTCATTGGTCGGCCGGTTAGCGCGGTCGATGCTAATAATAAAAACAAACAACAAAACGGGCTGAAGTGATAGATATTGGGTTGAAAGAGTGCGCCCCCCGCCGGGCCGTGGGCCGTGGCCAAAAAAGATCATGGTTGATCACACGTGGTGGTGAAGAAAACATGCAGATATGATTGCAGTCCAAACTGGTCCAAACGAAAATATAGACGAGAGGGCATGGCATACATTGCATACTGCATACATACGTCACAGCGAGTGAGTCTGGTGCTGCAGTACTACTACAAGCAGTATACAGTAGCACCGCCTTCATGAAGCAGCAGTAGTAGCGCAGCTGGGTAGATAAATAGTATGACGGCAGATATGTTGACAACGTAGTCTAGGTACCGATTGTATGTGCAGACCTAGGATTCCCACCACCATGTTTTTGTACTGCTGTAAATATGGAGCCCTCTACTCTGGGTGAGCGGAGAGTCCGGGGTTGTGGTGGCCATGTCCTGCCACCGGAGGCTGGCTATGTCCTTTGGTGCAATGTGGCGAGGAATGCCAAGCGTGACCGAGCGAACTCAGTCAAGCTAGGGTGGTGCGGAGAGTGGGCGAGCCTTCGTGGACCCATTTTTCCATTCTCCTAAAGATCCATCAACCCTTAGCAGCCGTTCGGAATCCTAAGAGTTGTGGACCCTCGGAGAACAGTAATCGATTGTCACATATTCCCTCAGATCCTACTCTTTGTGTACACTAGTCCAAACCAACTTGCGTTCGTCATCACGCCATAGCTTATCAAGGAGAAAGAATTGAGCCGCGTTCGGCATAGCCCCCGAATCGCCCAACCAAGGCGGGTACGCACGTGTTGGCAAACAGCTGATTGTCGACGTTCTCTGAAAACGGAAGATATCACGCCCAATTCATGTAGGCTTTTAGAGTCGCTCAAAAAAAATTGAAACGTTTTTTTTAGCGGCGGAATTAGGGATTTTTGAAAAAAGAAACACAGCAGCAGCACACATTGCTGTTGCGCAGCACCGTGCAGAGAGCGACAGCATGGCTTCCAGCCGCTTACCCGCAGCCACAGACCAGTGGGAGAAGACGTCCATGCCCGTGTGCTATCCAGAGAAGAACACTGGCAAGTGGCGGTTGTTCCTCAACTTCACAAAGCGGAAGGGAGACAAGGCGAAAAGACAGCAGAGTTCACGGTTTGCTTCTCGAGAGGCAGCGCTTGCCGGCGTCTTGGACTTCAGGACAGGCGACGCCGTACAGCCATCGCGGCAAGCTCTACAAGCGCACGATGAGAGATCCAGCCCCATCCTCAGCAGCTGTGGCGGCAGCGACTGCGCTTCCAGCAGGCAAGTCGTAAATTGGGTACACACACAATCATGTTTCTCAATTTTCAAATCGGTGCCGTTCGTAGCAGCAGGCTGCGGACATCGCGAGTGGTCGAAAGCGCACGCTGCATGCGTACACTACAGCAGGCTTTGCTGCGCGTGGCACTCGCTCTCGTTGTTGCCTACTGTAAGCAAGGGAGGGGGAGTAACATATTTGGAAGCTTGCAACGAGTGCCACCTCTTGTGAGAGGTTGCTGGTGTCCAAACCTTGATTTTTTAAATTTCGCAACGGCTATTATTTTCGTCTTCCACAAACAAACCGCGCCGTGCTGTTGCTGCTGCTGCTGCCGCGGCAGCGGCGACGGCGGCGACGGCGGCCAGTATCTATACGTGAGGGTACTACTTGCAGCTCTCGAAAGTACTCATTTTCACTACACCGTATCGCGATAATTTTGTTTTTCCCATATGTAGCATTTTCCATATTTTTCGGTTCAACGTGCACCGGGTGCAAGAAGCTGAGCTGACACAACACTCACGTACAAGACTGCGCGTGTCATGTGCTGGCTTGCCGGTCCCGATGTTGTACTCACCGGTGCTACAAGCGCTGTTTGAACGCACCATTCACACCTTTATGCACTCTTCAACTGCTGTCTATTTAAACCTCTATGCCTACTGCTATGCGGGCGCAGCTCCCAGTGGGGCCTTACAGATGCTCGTCACAAGTGTAATCAGTCGACCAAATTTCCACATGCACGTGCTTCGCGATCATCACATATTGACAGTACTGGACCCAGGCAACACTACAGCAGGAGTTATCGTTTGTTTTAGTAATTCATCCTTGTGTATTCTCTGCATATACTGCTGCCGTGATGCATTGCTGCGGGCCGATCACACTCCCTGCACGAATACAAAGCCCCTGTAGGCGCTCTCACAAGTGTAATCAGTCGACCAAATTTCCACATGCACGTGGGTCGCCATCATCACATATTGACAGTACCGGACCCAGGCGATACTACAGCAGTAGATATGGTTTTGTTTTAGTTCTTTATCTTCGTGTGCGTTCTGCATATACTCTGCTGCAGTGGTGCCCTGCTGCGGGCCAAAAACACTCCCTGCACGAATACAACTACAGTCGACATCTGTGCTCGCGATCCCCTTCAACTGATCCAAACATCCATGCACCTGCGCCGCATGTTACTTCATCTGCCTTTTCCTTAAAAAAATTACCGGCTGTACTGCCGATACATACATCAACATATACCGGGAGCGGGATCAGATAGGGCTCGCTGTGCTTTGCAGTGATCTTTTCCTGTCAAACTTCGCTGCTGCTGTCGTATGAAAATGTTTCACACGAGCTGACACCCCACCCGAAATCCCAATTTCACACAGGAAAATCGCGCAACAGCCTCGGCAAGCTAAACGCCGTGGAGGAAAGGAAGTTCAAGCGACTGCGGCTGGCCGGTTCGGACGCGACCCGCGCAGGCTTCACGCTAAAGTCGACGCTTTCCAGGCGCGAGAGGTGTTTGGTGGCCCGGGTCTGGAGCAAGAGGGAAGGAAAGCTTCGACGGGACTTCGACAAGCGGGGCTCCTATCTCGGCAACCGGATCTACGAGCTGACATCGCGGAGCGAGAGCAACGAGCAGCACATTCGGCGTATTGAGGCAGCTATGGCGGAGCAAGACCTCGCGAGTCTTCTCGCCCCTCTCCCCCCCTCGCCCATCGAAGGAAATGCAGACGTGGACGCACGGGCGTGTACCGAGGGCGAGGACAACCAGTACAAGGAGGAAGTGTCCGCCACCCAAGCAAACCGCTTGTGGTATCAAGGGCACTCGGCGTTGACGGTGTTGAAGGAGGAGCGGAAGCGCGACCTGCGGCAACTGGAACTCACGCAGCAGGCGAAGGCCTTGTCGGATGAGCCGTACACGACGATCCCAGCGGTGAAGGCAGCAGAGGCCAAACGGTTTGAGCTGTTGAACGAGGCCTCACGTCGTCCACACCAGTCGTCGCGCTTGCGGATCGCGGCGAGAGTAAACTCCGCTGGCTCGCGGGTTTACGCGGCATCGACAATCCTGGGGTGGCTCAGGGACTTGCGGGGGCACGGTGGTTTCAAGCGAGATTCAAGGGGGGTGCACGAGTGGGACTGGATCATGTCGGAAGAGGACCTCAAGGATGAGCTCATCAAGTGGATGAGGACACAGAAGCGCCTTACGGTGAAGGACGTCCAGAACTACATCAACTAGTGGCGCTTCGCGAACGAGATCGGGGATTTATCCAGACTCCTTTCGTACCAGGTGAACCTTCCCGTGTCCATGGCCACAACCCACTCCTGGATGATCGCGCTGGGGTGCAAGTACGAGCGGGCTACGAAGTCTTTCTACACGGACGGCCACGAGAAGAAGGACGTGGTGGTGTACCGCGGCAAGTACATCGACGTGAAGCGGAAGCTCGCCCTTCGGCAACCGTTGTGGGTGCGAGTTCAACGAGACACTCTGTTGCCGGAGGAGCTTCAGCGGCTTGATGGCATCAAAGGGTCCGACGGAGGATTTCGGCGCAGAGGTTTACGATTGCGTGGTAGAGGGGCGCGAGTGCATCGAGTTCTAGGTCGATCTCCTGCGGGACAACTGCTCCGCCGATCGATTCGATGCTCTCCGTGCTGAACGTGGACCGGAAGGCGGGCACTACAGCGTCCGCTTCGAAGAAGCTGCTGCTCTTCCATGCGAGAATGCAAGTGCAAATGCAACAGGAAGGTGCGCCACATCGGACAGGACGAGAGTCTCTATAAGGCGTATGCGCGCGAGGGCAAGGAGTGGGTTGTCCAAGGGGTACGCGGGTTACGGAAAAAAACCGAGGGCCCGGGAGAGATGGTGTCTGCCTTTCAAGATGAGAGGCACGGCTTTGGCTTGCCGTTGACGGACGACGTGCTGCAGGCGGTGAACGCGCGTCGCAAGGAGAAGGGCAAGGAAGTCCTGACACGAAGCCCTGGCCTGCGGTTTCTCCAGTACGGGAAGAACAAGGATGGATACTGGGGATACGACGAGTTCAAGGAACAGATCGAGGACGTCTTGGACGTCTTGGACGTCTTTGAACCCGACATGCAAGTGGTGGTTGAGATCGACCACTCGTCGGGGCACACAAGGCAGCGGGAGGATGGATTGCATGTGGGGAACATGAATGTCAAGTACGGGGGGAAGCAAAAGGTGTTGCGGGATACAGTCATGACAGAGGGGTGTTTGGGACCGGAAGAGGCGAAGATGTACCTCTCCAACGGTAAGTGGAGCACGGAGTTCACCGAGGGGGCAGAGGTCTACGACATGAAGCTCAAGGTTGGCGACACACAGACCAGCACGTTTGCGGCAGGTTCTCCACCTCCCTTTTACGAGTGGGATGCGCCGCGCAAAGATGTGAAGGTCGCGCGCAAGGCTAAGCGCAAGAGCAAAGCGGGAGCGGGGGTTGGCGCAGGCGATGTGGCGGCTGATGGGGCTGGAACAAAGCCTAGGGATAAGATTAAGGAAGGGTACGAAGGGAAGGCAAAGGGCTCGAAGCAGTACCTGTGGGAATGGGGATGGTGGAAAGACGGGATGTGGGGATCGCTGACGAGAAAAACATCGAGAAAGTCTTGCAGGCACTGACCGATTTTGAGAGTGAGAGGACGGCACTGCAGTACTTGGTCGAGAGCAGGGGACACATACTTTTGTTGTCTCCGAAGTGTCACCCAGAGGTAGCGGGGGTAGGGATCGAGTACTCGTGGGGGTTTTCCAAGCAGAGGTTTCGGCGGAAGTACAACGACGAAGTCCCGAAGCACTTGCACGCCAACATCGAAAAATCGATGTGCAGGGAAAAGCATTTGACAATCGGTCGGGTGCGAAGCTTCGCCCGGCGTACACGAGACTACTGCCGAGCTTACCGCAAAATTCAGCTGGGTGCGGTAGACGGCCAGGGTCTACAGCTGGTCGAGAAAATGCTCGACACCCAAAAGGCTCACCGCAACATACTGGACATGGAGCCCGGTTTCCTTGGCAAGCAGTGACCTTGGCCGGCCGGCCGGAAGGGGGG